AAATGAAGGAATTTGTGCAGAAGATTTACCCATTATTGATGTATTCTATCTTGTGTTTACCCTAAAGTCTGGAAAAACAATGCTTTCTGTTAAGAACTTAGTTCAATGCAAACCATTTAGGATTATTGACCAGTTCTTATGATTTGGATCTGGAATGTCCCCAAAAGGCTCATGTATTGATGACTTGGTCCTCAATGAAACAGTGTTCAGAGGTGAAGCTTTTGGGAATCCATTCATTGGTGGATTCATAAATTCATGGCATTGTGGGAGCTGGTAAACATTTTAGGAGGAAGAGCCTAACTGGGTGATTTATTTTTTAATATTTATTTTTTAGTTGTAGTTGGACCTTTGTTTATTTATTTTTATGTGGCGCTGAGGATCGAACCCAGGGCCTCACCCATTCTAGGCCAGTGCTCTATGGCTGAGCCACAACCCAGCCCGAGGGTGTGTTTTTGAAGGGTGTATCTTGTTCCTTGCTCCTTCTTCTCCCCTCTCACTGCTTCCTAGATGCCAGGATGTGAATGGCATTGCTCCACCACATGCTCCCCACCTTCATATTTTGCCTTATCGCAGGTCTAGGTACAATGGAGTCAGCTAAGAATGGTCTGAAACCTTTTAAACCATTAGCCAAAATAAATCTTTACTTCTCAAATTTTTGAATTGTCTCACATATGAGTAGTTTTGGTACCCCTTACATCTAAATCATAACATTCTGCCTCTGGTTGCCAAAAGCTTTTGCTCATCTCACAACACAAAATACACTTACTCCATTTCCAAAAGGCCCTATAATCTCCCACAATGCCATGAATTTATGGATTTCTTTCTTTTTTTCTTCCTTCCTTCTTTCTTTCTTTTTATTCTTTTGTGATGCTGGCAATTGAAACCAGAGTTTCATACATGCTAGGTAAACACTGTCACTGAGTTATGTCTACAGCCTTATGGCCACTTCAACAATATTAACTCTGCCTATTCATAAACACAGGAGATTTTTCTGTCTTCTAGTGTCTTTTTCAATTTCTTTCTTCAATGTTCTATAATCACTTTAGAAGTCTTTCACCTCTTTAATCAGATTTATTTCTAGTTTTGTTTTTTGAGCCAATTATGTATGGGATTGTTTTCTTGATTTCTTTTTCAGTGAATTCATTATTGGTGTATAGGAAAGGCATTGTTTTCTTTACTGTTGATTTTGTATCCTGTTGGTCAACTTGCTGTTTAGCATTTTACCAGTTTTGCTTGTTTCTGAACTTGTAAATGAATTAGTATGTATACTTTTCTGTCTTGCTTCTTTTGCATGATATTGATTTTAAGATCTATCTACATTATTGTACATGTCTCTAGTTTGTTTATTTTTATGTCTGTGGGATATTTCATTGTATAAATGTACCATAATTTACCCATTCCAGTGTTTTTTTCCCCACTGTGGGGCTATGGTAGCCAGCATCAAGTGTATCTATATTCCTATACAAAGTCAAATATTTCTGTAAGGGAAGAGTTCAAGGACAGCCTGCCATCTCCCAGTGTTCCCAGGGAGAACCATGGCTTAGTATAGGAGGTGCTGAAAAGCTCACAATTTCATTGCAGCAACAAGCTCACAGCACACCAGTCTGTCCCTGTCCCCTCCTGTGTTGGGCATAGGTAAGCCCTTCTCAGAACTGCTTAGCCATGAATACATCAGTGGCCCTCAGAGCTTTGTAGTTCAGAACCCTTGGAGCAAGGATCTGTATCCTTTTATCACAACTGGAAATGGATTGTGTGCCCCTCCACTGCCCAGATCGAATGTGGGATGAGTGGATTCACTAGCCGTGGGAACGCTTGCATTGCTAGTAGCTGGATCTTGCGTAATCACTCCTCTTGCTATAAGTAAATGCTTAACTCTGGGTGTTTTCTTCTCTCAGCCACTTGGAAGCATGTGCTGTTCTCTTCCCTGGGTGGTTCTTACTAGTCTTTTGACCTGAGTCTGGTTATGTCATTTTTTATCCTGTGGCACAAGCATCTAATCAGTTCCTGCATAAATATCCTGATGTCGATGCACACAATTTCCTTGGGGAATATATGTCCAGATAAGAACTTGGGGCAATACTATTTATTCATATATTGATTTATTCTAATAGTTAAATGTGAAAAGATGAGCATGATGTGGGAGGATTTTGAACATAATTAAATAAGTAGAAAAAAGATTTTAATATTCTTTCTTTAAAACCATGAAGATATAATTAAAGGGATACAAAGAGTAAAAGAATTCACTATTCTTGTTTACTGATGACATGATCCTATACTTAGAAGAACCCCAAACTCCAAACTGACTTGTAGAACTGAATTCAGCAAAGTTGCAAGATACAAGATCAACATATAAAACTCAATAATTTTCCTATACTCCAATAATAACTGTTGAGAATTAAATCAAGAAAACTATTTCACTCACAAGAGCCTAAAAACAATGACATAACTTTTTTCTTCTTTATGGATGAATAAGACACCACAAGAAAATGTGCCACATTTTCTTCACCCATTAATCTGGTGCCATAACTTGGTTATTGGGAATTTTGCTGCTAAGTAGCCCAGAGCAGCCTTAAATTTTCCATCCTTCTGTCTCAGCCTCCTAAGTAGCTGGAATGACAGGTGTGCATCTTTGTACCTGGCACCAAGGACAATTTCGCTTTGAAAGATCCACAGATCCCAAACCTGGAATGAACCACACGAGACACTGGCTGCAAAAAGCAGGAGGCGTTTATTCTCACACAGGTGCCTGCGGGTGCACAGCAAAACCTCAGCCGGAGCTTCGGTGAACTGGCACACCGGGCTTTGGGGTACAGATTTTTTTATAGGAAACAAGCGGGTTAGTTCTTAGCTTAGCACAGCAACAGCCTTTCTATTGGTTCCTCTGAATCCAGCCACTGGGTCACCTAGGGGGTAAACTTGTTTTTTCACTTTATGCTCTCGGAAAAACCCTAAAATTACATCCTGTCTTTTCAGTTTCTGTTTTTAAACCTAGTTCTCAAGTTTAACCAGTAGGGCTGTCTAAGAGGAACATCTTGTGGTAGGGGGCCCATTAGGGTTATCTACATGGAACATCTTGTGGTAACATTGTGCAACACCTGAGGTGCTACGTGCTGCTGGAGGGGTTTTGACATGGGGGTTGGGTGAGGAAGCGTCTTGCAGCTTTGAGGCCTAGGGGTTTGGTCACCTAATGCTGGGCCTGGGTCTTGAGGTCCTACATTCCCCCCTTTTTCTTTATCCGGGATATAATCTTATATCCATTGATCTACCTGCTCAGAGTCCGGTATTTGCTCAGCTGATGGTTCAGGGTGCTGTGGGAGTACTTGATATTGCTGCGCGAGGACCATAGTTTGAATTACAGACAATCTTTCTTTTATAAATTGCATTAATTTGTTAAATATGCAGGGCCCAAATGTTAATATCAGCAGCAATACAATTAAGGGACTGGCTACAGTAGATAATATAGTAGTTAACCAAGGGGAGTTATTAAACCAGCTTTCAAACCAACTTTGGGAGCCTTGCAGAGACCTTTCCCTTGCATCTAGTCTTTCTCTAAGCTTTGTCATAGACTCCCTTACTACCCCTGTGTGATCCGTGTAAAAGCAACAGTTTTCTTTTAAGGCTGTACAAAGTCCTCCCTCCTTCAAGAATAATAGGTCCAGACCTCGTCTATTCTGCAAGACAACTTCTGATAAGGAGGTTAGGGATTTTTCTAAAGCAGTTACAGAGGTTTCTATTGCTCTTAGGTCTTGTTGGATTGCAGCTTCTAGAATCCCTAGCTGTCGGGGGCCCTCAACTAGAGCTGCAGCCCCAGTCCCAATTCCTGCCAATACTCCTGCTCCTAACAAGACTGCCAGGGTAAGGCTGATAGGCTCTCGGGTGTATCGAATCCTGCCCATGAAATGTCCTTCAAACTCCTCTGAGGAATAATAGAATAGTCATGGGTAGATTCGGACTAACACACAAAAATCAGTGGAGGCATTGAGGATTGCCGTGGAAATACAGGGGGTCAGTCCAATGTTGCAGGCCCAATAAGTTCCGGGGGGACCCCACAAATAATTATTTTGTGAGCCATTTGTCAGGAGGGTGGTGTTACAGAGAGGTTGATGTGACAGGGGTATATTTCCTACACAGATCCCTTGTCCTGAAACTTCAGTGATGGTGAGTTTATAGCCGGGCAGGGACATACATTTAGGATCAGGGTTTATGTTACTGTTCCAGTCAGACATTATTGCTATTCCTTCATAGTAGGGTGGGCCGAAGGTGAGACAGAGCCAACGTTCCCGGGTGCGGTCTGGGTTGGTGGCATTGAGGGCATAAAAGGCTCCTTGAATCAAATCTAACAATCGGTTTTCAGTTCCAGGGAGTGTGGGTTCGGGGGAGTAACTAGAGGTTTGATAGTCTATGGTTACAATTTGAGACATGGGTGGCTCACTGGGAGGTACTTTGGGCGGACTTTTTGATTGTCTGGGAACTGAGGGAGCTCTTTGGTCCCTGAGAGCAGGATTAGGTCCTTTTGGGCTCATCAAAATTGGGGTTAGAGATAATTTGATTCTGAGAATTACACCGAGATCATCTCCTTTCATAAACCATCTAAGGCCCCATGTTCTCCCAGTGAGCCAGGGATCTAGCTGTTCTTTTCCTTTTTCTGTAAACTGTATCCGTAAGGGTAATGATTTGTCCCCTTGGTAGTAAGATTTAGGGGGGGGATAGCAATCAGAGGGGCGCGTGCCATGGGGAGTGAAGTTTTTGAGTATTGTTATGAATTCCTTATCAGAAGAAGGTTTCCAGTGAGCGTCCCCTGTAGTTTCACAGCCCCAGGAGGAGCAAAAGTATGTTTCATAATTTCCACATCTACGTGCTTGGGTTCGGTTTCTCCCCTCTTTGGGACAAACGTAAAAGTCATGTTAACCCAGTCTGCATCTTGTTATGGGGGTAGAACAATAAGTACTGAGGTCATGTGAGTTGCCGGGAATAACCCAAGAGTCTGATTCAGCGGCTAGTTGGCAAAAGTCTGGGGTCAAAGTAGGCCACCATGTGCCAGGGATGTGGGCTGCTGTAATAGACCAAATTATTTTCCCGGTTTCGGAATACACCTGCCAAGTCAACTTTATGGGGGTATGGGGATTACTACCTAGGACGAGGGGAGTAGCGTAGAGAGCAAGAGTGATTAACAGCGTGTAAGTCTTATCTTTAGCGGGTTTTGGGTGCGTTGCAGCTTCCATTCTGGATCCAGAGAGGCATCTGTGGGCTCCTGCGGATGTGCAGCTTTCACGTGGGAAGCGTGGATCCAAGCGGTGATGCCGTCCACTTTGATTGCAGTGGGAGTGGTCAGCAGGATGGTGTAAGGTCCTTTCCACCGTGGTTCGAGGTTCTTGCTCTGGTGCCTGCGTACCCAGACGGTGTCTCCGACTTTGAAGGGATGTGGCAGCGAGGGGGTTTTGAGTTCCTCCTTGTATGCTGCAGCTAGAGGCTTCCAAACCTCGTTCTGGACCAACTGCAAGGCACGCAAATGAGTCTGCATAGATGGGGTGAGGGAGGCATAAGTTTCAGTTTCATAAAAGTTAACAGCAGGTGGTGGTTCACTGTACAAAATCTCAAATGGGGTTAGCCCCTGTGGGCCTGGGGTGTTCCGGGCCCGGTATAAAGCTAAAGGTAGGAGTTGTACCCAGTCTCTAGTGCCAGTTTCAAGCGTTAATTTAGTTAAAGTCTCCTTGATGGTTCTATTCATCCTTTCTATCTGTCCTGAACTTTGGGGTCTATAAGCACAATGTAATTTCCAATTAATCCCCAATGTATTGGCCACCATCTGACTTACCTGGGAGACGAAGGCAGGCCCGTTATCTGACCCAATGGTCCCAGGTACTCCATACCTGGGAAAGATTTCTTCCAGTAATTTCTTTGCAACCACCTTAGCAGTCTCATGCCGAGTTGGGAATGCCTCTGTCCATCCAGAGAAAGTGTCAACAAAAACCAAAAGATATTTGTAGCCATACATACCAGGTTTGATTTCAGTGAAGTCTATTTCCCAATGGGTTCCGGGCTTATGGCCTTTCACCCAGATCCCTGTTCCAATTTTGATCTTACCAGCATTTACCTGGGCACATGCTTGACAGTTTTCTGCTTCCTGGCGCAGAAGTTGATCCCTGTTTGGAAGATATAAAGTACCTTCCCCACGCTCTAAGAGCTCCTTCATCTTTTTAGCCCCAAGATGTGTCAGTCTGTGTAGGGACTTCACTAATTGTTTTGAATTTTTGAGGGGCATGATAGTCTTTCCTCGATATTTCCAGACATTTTTTCCGGGGTCATAAGTGGCCCCCAGTTTCTGTATGGCATTTAGATCTTTATCTTCATAGACCCAGTGCTCCTCATGGTCATCATGTTGTGGGTCTGCTCGTTGGGGCAATAGAGTCACTATCAAAAGCTGTGGCCCTAGGGCTGCCTTCTTGGCTGTTTCATCTGCTAATCTGTTCCCTTTGGCCTCTGGAGTATTACCTTTTTGATGACTGGGGCAATGCATGATACTTAACTTTTTAGGCAAGAATAAAGCTTTAAGTAAAGCTAATATTTCAGTCTTATTTTTGATCTCTTTTCCTTCTGAGGTTAGTAGCCCCCGGCGTCTGTAAATTTCTCCGTGTATGTGAGCAGTAGCAAAGGCATATCTACTGTCAGTGTACACGTTTAGTTTCTTCCCCTCTGCCAACTTTAACGCTTGAGTCAGCGCTATCAGTTCTGCCCGCTGAGCTGATGTTCCGCCCGGAAGTGCACTCGCCCATATTACCTCAGATTCGGTGGTGATGGCTGCTCCTGCTCGTCGTTCTCCATTGAGCAGATAACTGCTTCCATCTGTGTACCAGACCAGCTCCGCATCCTTCATCGGTTGGTCGGTGAGGTCTGGCCGGGTTCCCTGTGTCTCTGCAAGAATCTGCTGACAGTTGTGAGGATCTGCTTTTCCTGGGAGCGGCAGGAGGGTCGCTGGATTCAGTGTCACCATGGGACCAAACTGAATTCGGTCGGTGTCCAATAACAAAGACTGGTAATGGGTGAGTCGGGCATTTGACATCCAGCGATCAGGCGGCTGGCGAATTACAGTTTCGATGGCATGAGTGGTTAACAGGGTTAATGGCTGTCCCAAAGTCAGTTTAGTGGCATCCTTAATCAGAAGAGCCACAGCTGCAATCATCCGGAGGCATGGTGGCCATCCTGCTGCCACTGGATCTAATTTCTTTGACAGGTAGGCTATAGGTCGCCTCCAGGGCCCTAGTTTTTGGGTTAAAACCCCTTTTGCATAACCCCGTTTTTCATCTATAAATAGATCAAAGGGCTTGGTAACGTCTGGTAAGCCCAAAGCAGGGGCTGACAGAAGAGCCAATTTGATGTGATCAAATGCCAATTGATGTTCCTTAGTCCAAGCAAAGGAGTTACCTTGCTTAGTTAGTAGATACAAGGGAGCTGCTATCTCAGCAAACCCAGGAATCCAGAGTCTACAGAAACCTGCTGTCCCCAGGAATTCCCGCAGTTGCTTGGGACTCTGGGGGTTGGTATACTTGAGATAGTCTCTTTTCTGGCAGTTGTCAACCATCGTTGACCATCATGGAGTTCATAGCCCAGATAGGTAACTTTTGTCTGACAGATTTGGGCCTTCTTTGCTGACGCCCTATACCCTAGTAGTCCCAAAGTTTGCAATAATTCCTCCGTACCTGCCTGGCAATCTTCCTCGGAGGTCGCAGCCAGCAAGATGTCATCTACATATTGAAGCATGATTAGGGAAGGGTGTCTTACACGGAAGTCTGCCAAATCCTGATGCAAAGCCTCATCGAAGAGTGTTGGGCTGTTTTTAAATCCTTGTGGCAGTCTCGTCCAGGTCAGTTGTCCAGAGATTCCTCCTTCGGGATCTTTCCATTCAAATGCGAAGAGAGCCTGACTTTGGGGAGACAGTCTTAGGCAGAAAAAAGCATCTTTCAGATCCAGAACAGTATACCAAGTATGAGTAGGAGGCAAAGTGCTAAGGAGATTGTAAGGATTTGGCACTGTGGGGTGAATATCTTCTACCCTCTTGTTAACTTCCCTTAAGTCTTGGACCGGTCTGTAATCATTAGTCCCAGGCTTTTTAACTGGCAGTAATGGGGTGTTCCAGGGTGATTGGCAAGGTGTTAGGATGCCTTGGTCTAGGAGGCGTTTGATGTGCGGCTTGATGCCCTGATAGGCCTCTCTTGACATAGGATATTGTTTGATATTAATGGGAATAGCAGCGGCCCTCAGATGAATGACTATTGGGGGCCGTTGTTTTGCCATTCCCATTCCTCCGGTTTCAGCCCAGGCCTCCGGGTAGGAACTAAGCCAATAGTCCATGTCTTTCATAGATACCGAGGGTTTGTCAAAAAGTTTATATTCGTCTTCCAATTTGAAAGTCAGTACATGTAAGGGAGTCTGGTTTGGCCCCGTGATGGAGACGCTCCCATCTTTAAAATAAATTTGGGCTCTCAATTTAGCCAATAAGTCTCTTCCCAACAGTGGATACGGACAGTCAGGCACGTGTAGGAATGAATGGGAAACCTTACCTGTGGCAAGGTGTACTTCTCTCTTGGTGGTCCACCGGTAGGGTTTGCTCCCAGTGGCGCCTTGGACCCACGTCGTTTTGTGGCTCATGGGTCCTGGTGTCTGTGTCAGCACCGAGTGTTGGGCTCCGGTATCCACTAGGAAGGTCACAGGTTGCTCCCCTACTTGTAGAGTTACCCGGGGCTCAGGGGGGAGCTCCTGGCCCTGACTCCCCTAATCTTCATCTAATGTCAGCAGTCGGGGAGCCCGGTTGGTATCTCTCCTGGGGTTGGGGGGTCTCTTTGGGCAGTCTTTTACCCAGTGTCCTTTTTCCTTGCAGTAGGCACATTGATCTTGGTCTACACGGGGTCTGCTTTGCTCCCTGTCCCTGTTTACTTTGTTTCCCTGATGTCCTGCCTGAACTATGGTGGCCAATATTTTACTTAGTTCCCTGTTACGCCTTCGTTCTCTTTCTCTTTCTTTTTTGTCTGATTCCTCTCTAAGCTTAAGTTCTCGTTCTTCCTGCATCTTTCTGATCCTGTCCTCTCGTTCTTCTGGAGTTTCTCTTTTGTTATATATCTTTTCGGCTTCCTTCAGTAAGTCTGCCAGAGAAAAATCTTGTAAGTTATCTAGTCTCTGCAATTTAGACCTGATATCTGGGGCGGACTGCCAAATGAAAGCCATGGATACATTTCCTTTTTGGTCCTCACTATCAGGATCAAAAGGAGTAAACCTCCGATATGCCTCTTTTAATCTTTCTAGGAATGCTGTCGGGGTTTCTTCTGCCCCTTGGGTAGTCTGTCTTACCTGAGCCAAATTGGTGGGTCGTCGCCCTGCTGCATGGAGACCCGCTATGAGTAACTGGCGATAGAGACGTAGGTGGTCCCTACCTGCTTCAGTCGCATGGTCCCAGTTTGGCCGGGTTAAAGGAAAAGCTTCGTTAATCAAATTTGGGAGTTGGGTGGGACGCCCATCGTCCCCTGGCACATTTTTGTGAGCTTCCAAAAGAACTTTTTGTTTCTCCTCTGAAGTGAGGAGAATTTGCAGGAGCTGCTGGCAATCATCCCATGTTGGCTGGTGAGTTACTAGGATAGACTCAATCAAAGAGGTTAGAGCTATAGGGTCTTTAGAAAAGGAAGGGTTATGGGTTTTCCAGTTATAGAGGTCAGAGGCAGAAAAAGGCCAATACTGATATTGGCCATTGGGGCCTCCCATCTGTCGCAGGGGGAGAACTCTGGAGGTGTCTCCTGAGGTGGTGTGATCCCGGCGTCCCCGGAGCCGTCCCACCATGGGAGATGGATCCGGGGGAGCATTGGCGACTGGGCCTTCTTGGTTCTCGTCCTCGGAGGATGCTTGATCAGGTTCAGGGGCTTGTAAGGGCTGGGGCTGATAGGGAGGAGGCTCATCAGTCAGCAAGTCAATCAGAGCTGAGTCCTCCGGCGGTAGAACCTTCTTTGGTGTTGTCCCTGTTTTAACTGAGGTCTCAGATTTGTTAAGAACAGGGTAAAGATGAGAGGTTTGGGGAGGGGGAAGTGGAATGAGGGGAGCAGAGGGTTCAAGGGGAGAACGGACAGGGGGTTTGGGTGGAGAGAAAGGAGCAACCCAAGGGGGGGGGGTTGGAGGCTAAGTCCTCCCAGGTAACAATGTAGGGTATCTGGTCAGGGTGTCCATGAGGACCATGGGTGAAGATTCGGGTTTTCACCTGGAAGATAAGATCAGTATTAAAAGTCCCTTCTGCTGGCCAGCTGGTGTTGAATGTTGGCCATTCTGAAGTACAGAGAGTTTTCCATTTTTTCTTTTTGACTGTCACGGACAGGTTGTCTGCCCGATCTTGAACGTCTTGCCAATGATCTAGAGTTAGGCTCAAAGGGATTGTTAGTGATTGTCCCATGTTACTCTCAGAGAGGAAATAGAGAGACAGACACAACGACACAAAAACGAAACCAAACAGTGAGATCGCTGCGCGGCTTCGGTGGAAACCGAAAAAATCAGATGGCCTGGGAGAAGTTCATACTTTTCCGTCGCCTACAAAGATGGTGTAATCCTCGGAAACACCGGGGGCCCCAAAGAAATGGACCCCTCTGATCCCTGGGACGTCTCCCAGGGTGGCAGGGGAGAAGTCCGAGTTCGTCAACTCCTTCTCAAACTGCCTCAGAATACTAGATGACTACAGAACTGCCTCAGAATACTAAATGACTATGCCTAGGATCATATAGTCTTACAGACGCTGCGCGGAACAAAGAACAGATAGCCAACAGGACAACAAGACAGAAAGTTCGAGCTGGCCAGCTTACCTCCCAGTGATGTCGGGTGTCCTCCGGATAGGGATCGGGATCGGAACCGGGATCTTGGATCTCGGTGGAACCTCCAAAATGAAAGATCCACAGATCCCAAACCTGGAATGAACCACACGAGACACTGGCTGCAAAAAGCAGGAGGCGTTTATTCTCACACAGGTGCCTGCGGGTGCACAGCAAAACCTCAGCCGGAGCTTCGGTGAACTGGCACACCGGGCTTTGGGGTACAAATTTTTTTTATAGGAAACAAGCGGGTTAGTTCTTAGCTTAGCACAGCAACAGCCTTTCTATTGGTTCCTCTGAATCCAGCCACTGGGTCACCTAGGGGGTAAACTTGTTTTTTCACTTTATGCTCTCGGAAAAACCCTAAAATTACATCCTGTCTTTTCAGTTTCTGTTTTTAAACCTAGTTCTCAAGTTTAACCAGTAGGGCTGTCTAAGAGGAACATCTTGTGGTAGGGGGCCCGTTAGGGTTATCTACATGGAACATCTTGTGGTAACATTGTGCAACACCTGAGGTGCTACGTGCTGCTGGAGGGGTTTTGACATGGGGGTTGGGTGAGGAAGTGTCTTGCAGCTTTGAGGCCTAGGGGTTTGGTCACCTAATGCTGGGCCTGGGTCTTGAGGTCCTACAGCTTTTGTTCAACTTTATTCTAAATGTATTTTGACAATTTGTTTATTCAGTTAGAGTTTAAAATACGTATATCATGGGATCAACTTGTTTGCTCCTTGGCTGTGGACCTGTCCCTTCTGTGAATCACCCACGGAGGAGACTGGCACTCTTCGTAGTCCAGAAAGAGCCAAAGGTGGGTTCAAAGGTGGCAGGACTAGGCAGTTCTATGGTGCAGCGGAAGCTTCACAGGTGAACACCACAAACTAGCTCACACTGTTAGTGGGGTGGATGGATGGTGGTGATCAATGCAGGGGACTCCCCTGTGTACCTGGGAATGGCAGACAGAGAGACACTGCAAGTCCCAGCCACAGGCAGGACACAGCCTCTTCTTCACCCAGGAGCTCTCCCTCAGACCACACAGGCAGCACACTTGGCGTTGCCCCGCCCTCCCTCCCTCCCTATTCCTCCTGCCTTTGCATCACTCCACATGGTTTGCCTTGGTCTTTGGTCGCCTTATGCCTTGCTCCTTTAAGAAAGGTAAAGAATTGAATGGAGGTAAGCAGCCATATATAGGGTTGAAAAATTGACACTGAAAACCAAGCCCCTCAACACCATGATTTTCCACTTACGTTTTTTCATTTCGTGTGTGTGTGTGTGTGTGTGTGTTGCGCACACGTTGGGGATTGAACCCAGGGCCTTGTGGATGCTACTTAAGCTATTGCTGAGCTGCATCCCCAACTCATATCACTTCCATTTTAACCTTATGTTTTAATGAGTTATTTTGCAATGACTATTTAGGAAAACAACATCAACATCAATTGTTTGGTAAATGTAAATAATTTTCACTGATTACTAAAAAAAACACAAAAATGATGTTCTGACTTCATTTTAGTCTATAACTGCTGTATGTAGAATAGGAGAGGGATTCCTTTTATGGTTATTGTTTGTTTGTTTGTTTATTGTAGTGTTAGGTATTGAACCCAGCATCTTGCACGTGTCAGGTAAGCTTTCCCCCCTTGAGTCACAACCCTTGTCTGAGTCTTGTTATTTAATTACATTTCTGTCTAGAAGAATTCTTATAAGCAATTAAAGTGTGAATGAGGATGTGAAATCTAAATATTCCTCAAAGTTAAGCTTTTTTAGTTGTCTCAAGAAAGATCTCAATTTTTGTAATTTGATATTTGAAAGCAAAGAAAACCCAATTAATCTTATTCAGTTGACAATCCCAAAGGGATAACCAAATTGTCCCTCTCTCACATTCAGTCTCTTACTTGAGGTCTGTGGACTCTATGAATCTGAGGAGAAACCCTCAGCTGTCAAGCGTTGGTTAAAATGCAAACTGATGCACAGGCACGGAGTCTTCACCCAGCTCCATGCCTTTGTTTGGAACTGGATTTGCTGATTTTCAAAAGCCGAAAGTTTTGGCATCAAATATTTGCCTGCAGTGATTTAATCAGAAAGTACTATCTATGTGCATGAATAATTTTATTTTGCAATTTTCAAATTCAAAAATCTATGTGTTTATTGAGCACTTTTGCTAGGCTGGGGGGGGGAATGGCATTTTATTGCTAGCATTAAGGTTGAATTCGAGTCTAAAATTTTTGTTCAAAACGCGTGAAACACAATTAAATTATTCTGAAGCAAAATTGTTGTTAGGTTTTGCATAAAGCAGAAATTTCTTTTGGTGTGATTAGGCTCTATTAATTACTCTCTCATTCTATGTTTAGAATGAAAAGGTGGGCGTCATCACTCAAGTGCAGCTGCAGTAACAATAACAGCCGCCTACAAAGGCGGGGGAGGAGACTTCTCAGACCCTGTGAGGATCACAAGGGCTTTGTACATATGCTGATCAGACCTCCTTGAACCCTGGAGACATCTCTGAGAAATAAAATATTCTGTCGCTCTGAAAACATTCCTGAGGTGGGTCAGGCATGACCTAATCATAACACAATGGATTCTCCATGCTGAAATGAAGGCCTTGCCTGATTCCCATTTAAATGTGAAAGCCTGGGGAATTCACTACCCAGTATGTGTGACTCACCCAATAACCGAAATAGCTCATGAAGTGCCTGCTGGTAACTGCTAATGTCTCTTTTTCATTCATCTTTAGGAATTCAAAGACATAGTCTGCCTCTGGGATTTTATTTTCCCCTGTGTATTTGTTTAACAATTGTAAAAACAGATTTCCTGGAGGCTGTGTTTCGCTAACTCCTTCTGATTTTATTCTTTGCCTTCTCCTTTGCACCTTCCTCACCTCCTTTTCCTCTTCCTCCTATGCTTTTTCCTTTCTTTTCTTCAGTAGTTTCCACTTCAACAATGATGCAGCCTTTGATGCAGAGCTTTCTAGCCTTGAAATGATGCAGAGAGTATTATGGTAGAATTTAGAACTGGGTTGATTCTGGTTTTTTACTGGGTGTCTGTGTTGGAATTGGAACTCGGTTTTCTCACTTCATACGCTCTGCTCTGCTCTCAATCACACCATTATTTCTTCTGCCCATTCTAATGCTGGGATCATGACATTTATTTGGACATACCCATCCAGTGGACAGCTGTCAAATAGTGTGGTGCTTCCCACTTGGAGGAACTAGGTTAGCTCTGCAGGTTGTAAGATTTTTCTGGGACACATGGGGTTGGGCTGGGCATATTCAGAAGAGGTGCTTTCTCAGGCAGTGGAATAACTTAAAATAGCCTCATTTGGTTTCAGAGAAGCAGGCTAAGGTGAAGCGCAGAGTAAAGAAATGGAGAAATATGCCAGAATTTTACAAAATGATCAGCTGCAGAGGCCCTGTAGGTGGAAATGTGTCTCCCAAAAAAGGGATGTTGAAGTCCAACTCCTGGTGCCTATGAACATGATCTTATTGAGAGATCCTGTAGTGACTTTGCAGCTGTGATCATGATAAAATGAGCTCACACTAGATTAGAGGAGCACATAATACAATGACTGGACACAGAAAAGACACCCAAGGGGAACAACAGGAGGTAAATGGAGTGATGCATCTGAGTCAAGGGACATGCAATAGGGAGCTACCAGAAGCTTAGAAAAGGTGAGGAAGTATCCTAGAGCTTCCAGGGAGAGAATGACATGACTGACATATTGAGGTAGAGGTGAGGTTAAAATGAGGCTTCATGATGGGTTCATGCTTGGATCTGTCAGAGACTTTTTTTTTTTGACTTGTATTTTGCAACACTACAGGAAGAAAATACCTAGATTAGGGATCTCGGGTTTTCTTAAAATCCAAGAAATCCTTCCTTCCTACTAACTAAGAATAAGAATACAACGAATATCTCGTATCTATGGGATACTGAAATATTTCACCCCCTATATACCTTTGTATTAAATCTATTTTTGTTGCTATAATTAGATCCCTGAGACTAGGTAAGTTTAAAGAAAAAAAGTTTATTTAGCTCATAGTTTTGGAGACTGAAAGTCCAAGATCAAGTAGACCATGTGTTTGGCTTCTGGTGAGGGGCTAATGGCAGATGCCATTGTGGTAGAAGTGTGTACAAGAGGAAGAGATCACACTGCCAGACAGGAAGCCAGCAAGCAAGATTGAGGATGGGCTTGCCCTTACAGTTTGCTCTTCTCAACAATTTGCAGTAGCTAAGCTATGGTGCCAATCTAGGTGCCCTTCAACAGATGAATGGATAAAGAAAATGTGGTACATATACACAAAGGAGTGTTACTCAGCCATAAAGAAAAATGACTTTATGACATTTGCTGGTAAATGGATGTCTGGAGACTATCATGCTAAGTGAAGTAAGCTAATCCCCAAAACCAAAGGTCGAATGTTTTCTCTGATGTGCGCAGGCTAACACACAAAAGGTGGAGGGTAGAATAGAAGTTTAGTGGAGTAGACAAAGGGGTATGAAGGGAATGGAGGGGAATGGGAAAAAGAAAGACAGTGGAATGAATTGGACATAACTTTCCTATGTACATAAATGAAAATACCACAGTGAATCTCACCATGTTTTACATCCACAAGAAATTAGTTTTTAAAAAAGTAACTATGAGTGAATGGCAGAAAGATCAGGGAAAGAAGCAGGGAGTGAGGAGGGGGAAGGGAAAGGAGAGTACTGGGGTCTGAA